GCTCCGTTAGAGGGTCTGGTGGTGGCGTTGTCGGCTGTTGTCGGCTGCGGCGCTGTCTTATTGTAAATTGCAATAGATCTCGCTCCGGTAGAGGGTCTGGTGGTGGCGTTGTCGGCTGTTGTCGGCTGTTGTCGGCTGTGGTCGACTGGGGCGGTGTCTTCTTGTAAATTGCAATGGATCTCGCTCCGGTAGAGGGTCTGGTGGTTGCGTTGTCGGCTGTTGTCGGCTGTGGTCGGCTGCGGCGCTGTCTTATTGTAAATTGCAATAGATCTCGCTCCGGTAGAGGGTCTGGTAGTTGCGTTGTCGGCTGTTGTCGGCTGTGGTCGGCTGCGGCGCTGTCTTATTGTAAATTGCAATAGATCTCGCTCCGTTAGAGGGTCTGGTGGCGGCATTGTCGGCTGTTGTCGGCTGTTGTCGGCTGTGGTCGGCTGCGGCGCTGTCTTATTGCAAATTGCAATAGATCTCGCTCCGTTAGAGGGTCTGGTGGTGGTCTTTAGTACGCGGACTAGCTGGGGAGCTGGAAGATGAGAACTGGCGACTTTGTAGTACAACTGTAGTACGCGGAGTAGCTGGGGAGCTGGAAGTTGAGAACTGGCGACTTTGTACAACTTTAATACAGTACGCGGAGCAATCTGTGGAGCTGGAAGCTGAGCACTGGCGACTTTGTAGTACAACTTTAGTACGCGGAGTAGCTGTGGAGCTGGAAGCTGAGAACTGGCGAGTTTCTAGTACAACTTTAGTACGCGGAGCAATCTGTGGAGCTGGAAGCTGAGAACTGGCGACTTTGTAGTACAACTTTAGTGCGCGGAGTAGCTAGGGAGCTGGAAGATGAGAACTGGCGACTTGGTAGTACAACGTTAGTACGCGGAGTAGCTGGGGAGTGGGAAGATGAGAACTGGCGACTTTGTAGTACAACTTTAGTACGCGGAGTATCTGGCGAGTTGGAAGATGAGAACTGGTGACTTTGTAGTGCAGCCTTAGTACGCGGACTAGCTGGGGAGCTGGAAGATGAGAACTGGCGACTTTGTAGTGCAACTGTAGTACGCGGAGTAGCTGGGGAGCTGGAAGCTGAGAACTGGCGACTTTGTAGTACAACTTTAGTACGCGGAGCAATCTGTGGAGCTGGAAGCTGAGAACTGGCGACTTTGTAGTACAACTTTAGTGCGCGGAGTAGCTGGGGAGCTGGAAGATGAGAACTGGCGACTTGGTAGTATAACTTTAGTACGCGGAGTAGCTGGGGAGTGGGAAGATGAGAACTGGCGACTTGGTAGTACAACTTGAGTACGCGGAGTATCTGGGGAGCTGGAAGATGAGCACTGGCGACTTTGTAGTACAACTGTAGTACGCGGAGTAGCTGGGGAGCTGGAAGATGAGAACTGGCGACTTGGTAGTACAACCTTAGTACATTATGCCCCATATTGCGGACGTGCGACAACCGCTGGTGTTGTTGGTTAGTTGTGGCTGCGCACACCTGTGTGCACAATACCTCGTACATCCGCCGTGCACATCACTCTCTTACACCTTCTCTCCCACCGCTCTGTTGTCGGAAGCTGATATCACTTCCTGACAAGGCCGTGTTGTAGAAGCTATTGAGACTCTGACTGCTTTGTGCTTTAGAAACTTAAGATTCGTAAAGACTCATATGTGGGGTTATCCGGTCCTTTAATTGGCGTTTGTTTTTAGTGTATGATTATCGCCCGATAGGCTAGGCTGGAGTTGTGGATGGGCGAACGAAGTGAGTATAGGGGGGTGTGGAGGGGTGGTGACCTAGCCGGCCCACCAGGTAGCGCGAACCCAGAGCCTGGTGGGGGAGAACGAACGAAAGGTTGGTCTGAAAAGCAGTGAACATGTATGATTTTTGGGGTGTTGCGATGCAAGTGATGTAATTGATGCCGAATGGTCCATCATTAGCATCATGAGGGGCTCAGGAGGCTATTTGGACAATCTTTCGACAAGGGGTGGGAGTTCATGTCGGGGACAGGAAAGGGGGGACAACGTGACAGGAAAAGAGGTTGTAAGTTTACTACGAAAGTCAGACGTGCGTCTTAATGTTTTTTCTTGTGGTTGACTAGAGTGGAAGGGAACGCAAGAAACGATGTCACCCGTTGAGGACAGGAGAGGGAACAGAATGCAGTCATGCCCCTGTTTATGGTGAAGAGGGCTGTTAACTGGATGCAAAAGGGCACCCCTGAGAGGTATACGAGGGAGTTGGGTTTGGGATACGGGGTGGGAATTCATGTGGAGGACAGGAAAGCGGCGAAACACGTGACAGGAAAAGAGGTCGGGAAATCACTAGGAAAGTGAGAAGTGCGTCTCTCAGCCCTGTGCTGTCTCGTGGGTAATAAGAATGAAAGGGAGCGCGAGAAAGAACGTGACTTGCTTAGGGGTGCCCTTTTTCAGCTTGGAAAAGCCTTTGAACACGAAGAAAAAGGGGACCCCACCCCTCCACCTGTGAATGTCGTGCTCAAGTAAACTTTTTTCCTGACGCACGGGCTCCACTTCTATCCTATAACCGCAAAAGGGCCTTGATCGAAACCTTGTGTATAAAGATCGGCCCTCAATGCGCGACTTTGCGCCTTTGCCTTCTGCCTCTGCCTTCTATTTCCCTTTGCTTGACAGGAGTTCCAGTGCGCTGTCGAATTCACCCCATAACCACGTTGATGTCTTCTTAAGGAGGCTGGCTTTCGTCCCCTCTTTTCTCAGGTGATGCTAATTTTTGAACTATTTTTGGTGTTGGATGTTTTTAGTTGTTAGAAACCCTTTTCCCTTATGGATCAAGAAATTCTAAAGGTGTCGAGAGCCTTCAAGTGGCCATGGTAGTTTTTGACCCTAGAAGAGGAGTGCGTCCTTTTTTTCCCTTTACGCTCTGCCCCTGAGAACTGCGGGCACTCGGGGTAGATGAACCACCCCCCCGCGCAGGTTTACATAAGCCACGCCATTGGCACCGCTGCGATTGTGGAGTTACTTTGTGCCATGAACTCCCAGGTATGAGTTGAATTGAACTGATTCATGTCAACATATCTCAACGAAGGGGGATGCACGCGTAGGAGGCTGGATTTTGGTTTCTACTTGTAGTGGTTTTCATTTTATCCATTGACTCAATTGGACGATGTGCAAAGAGGAATTCGGAAGATTCGTAGAGGTAGTCCGTGGCATGTTCTTAACAAGTGTTTTCCGTGGCTGCCGATCTCAACTCCAATCTATTGCAAACAGAAGATGTTCATGAGTGCTTTATCTCAGCTTGAACAGATCATGCTCGACTATTGCTGGGTAGTCTTCATGAAGAACTTGGAGCTCTCGGAAGCAGTCGCGAAGCTCAGAAGTTGAATCTATGCAAAAAGGATCAACAAGGTCCATGAAGGGTACGGCACCAAGAGTTCTTCTTCAAAGACTCTTCAGACAAAGCTAGTTGTCCATTCTCCAACATTTCTTCCACATGTGGTCGAACAAGAAAACACAGATGTGGCATGATGTGGCCCGTTTTTTCATGGCAGTTGCCCATGCGCCGTCGACCCTGGCTTCCCTTCGCGGGTCGCGCATGTTCGGGCTTATGATGATCGGAGTTCGACGCGTCGCTTCCGCGGTCGTTTTCGAGGCCGAGATGTTCGCTTCGCCTTCCTTGGCTGCCTCGGTGGTGCTGACAGACCTGAAGGGGAGGCCTTTGCCCAAACTGTGCGGTTGGAACCTGTGCGGAAGAAATGAACGGAAAAAGCGACAAGTGGATTGAAGAGTCTAAAGGTTGAAAGCAAGGAAGAATAACAGAGAAACAGAATGACAAAAGATCCAGAGGACATTACTTTCATCATTTGAGCCTTTTGGCAGGCCACTCCAGGCCAGTTGCGCGATGAGGCTTGCCTTGGCTGGACCGAAGAAGCCAAGTGTCGCTTGGGCCTTCCATTTTACCGATGGACGTCCTCCGACATGGCTGCTTAGCTTTGTTTGGTGCGTCGTGCTTGATCGACGGCGGATCAACCCTGGGGCAGGGGCGGTGGTTGGGTGGTTTGGAAGGTGGTGGGGTTTTAGTCTTCCCCAAAAAGACCCGTTGTGCCTGACCGTTTCAGTACAGGCTAGGTGAGTTCACGATGCGAAAGGACAGTCAGACATTCTCCAATTTGTTTCCTAAGTCTATCCACTGCAGAACGGCGTAGAGCACGGGCGGCCGCAGAACCGCCCAGGATTCTGGATTAAGACCACTCAACTCTTCAGGTTCTTTCGTTCGATTTCCGACGCACTGCCCATCCTCTCCGCAGTTCCCATCCCAATATTTTCGTCAGCACATGTGCTTCAGGCAATACCTCCTCACATGTGCTTCAGGTTCTGTGCACAGAGAGGCGGGAATCGGATGGTTTTTTTCATGCTTTGTAGACAGAATCGAGATCGACTCCGTGAAGCATTCAACCAAGTAGGTTCACAACACCAGAATATATTTGTTTCAACACCAAGTGACTCTATTTGGAGTCAGGGGGTGGTGGAACCCACAACTCAACTTGTTGAGCAAAAGGATCATATTCCAGGGGCACGGACGTTTCACGGACCAACAGCCCTGTTTGGGTCGGTGTGATCTCTCCAGGCTTAGACCTCTTTGGAATCCTGGGTGGTGAATGCCGCTGCGGAGCCTCTGTGTTGAACGAGGACGTTTGGCATTGGGAGACTCCCCAGCCAGGTGACGGCGCTGTTTTTGACGGAGATGTTTGAGTTTGATGAGTTTGTTGAATATTCAGAACATTATGCCTCTTGACTTGGATGTTTGTTGGGAGGCTTGGGAGGCTTGCTTGTAGATTGTAGATGTTTGAAGTGTAGTGTGCAGTGTTGTGTAAATTGCTGGTTCCTGCAACTCCTTGGCCTGAGTGTGACCGACCACCGGGAGGCTTAACCTTGCCCTGGAGTGAGCTGGAGAAATGCAGCGAGACCTCTGCTCGTGCCTATCGCTACACCGGTCACTTTGAGGACGCCCAGGGCGGCCAGTGCCTGTCAGGGCTGCTGTTAGATGGTACCAGCTGCGGAACATGCCAAAACCTAGAAATGACATGACCTGAACAACTTGCCCGAGACAAGAGCACATGTTTATAGGAGAGGTTCGGATAGAATTTTGCTGCTTCTTCCTCTTTGAGCTGATCGACACCATTTGCAGTGCGCTTCCCGTTGATGTCTCGACCAGGATGGCTCCATCTCAGCAGCACTGATCTCCATGTCACAGGATGATGTGGCCTACGTGGACTCTGTGGCGAAGGGGCAGAAGATCTCTGCCGAGGAAGAGGAAGATGTGGTCAAAGTTACCCAGGCCAAAGGATGTTCATTTCATCCTCGGATCGAAGTTGTTGCTTTTTGCTCATCAATCAATGTATATACATATTTTTTCTTTGCACCAGTGCCTAGGCTTGGATTTTTATGCCAGGAGCCCCGTTCGTAGCGTCCTTGTTACTAGTAGTACGGCCCGGAGCGCCGTGCATAGCGAACATTGCTCCTAGTAGCGATGCCAGGAGTGCTTGGTGTTCCGTTTGGCTTGCGAGGCCGAGATCGACCCCGAGATCATGATCGACCCCAAACCGCCAGCGCCCGCACTTCTGCAGGGCCGAAGTGGTCGAAATGAGTGCCGCTGGGAGGACAATATACAAAATCAAATCCATTTTTGGCATCCATAAAAGATCAAAAATGCATTTGACATCCGTTTTTGGGGGGTTGCGGCCATTTTTCTTCCAGACTCGACCGGTCTCGACCGACCGGTTTCGAAACGGTTGACGGATCGTCCGTCGCGAGCGAGGCCCGGTGAGCGGGACTTGCCCGTGCGGAAATCCGGAATATCCATGCTACGCCTACTATACAGCAGGCCACACTACACCGCAGCAGAAACGAGTCCACAGGTTCGGTAGAATTCGGTAGAATCCAGAGGTTTGGCTTCTACTAACTGCATGTAACTGCTGATCTAAGCAGATCTTGCTCTTTTCAGCCGTGCGTGCGCTAAGACGTGCGCTTTCGTCTTTACTCCGCGGCAGGTGGATTTTGCGCCTGTTTCAAGATCAACGGCGATACCACTCCTGAGAACTGCGCTGGGTTTGGGGGCACCTTCTGCGGTGAGACGACGACCACCACGACCACCACCACAACCTACACAGGGCCTCCGACCACTGCGACGACCACCACCACTGCTGAAGGCTCTGTCCTCAGACCCCTTGAAGCACTGCATGGAAGCGGCAGCCACATTCAAGCAACTGTTGTTTTGGGGTGGGACGATTGGGAAGTTTTTCAGTTGAACTAAAGGTCTTTCTTCAGGACTTTTTTCGATTCCTTCAGCGTATCTCCTTTCGCCAAAGTGGCAGATGAGGTCCACCAGACGGGATTGGCTGGAGCCGTTCCGGACCACAGAGCAGTGGGGGAACTCGTTGGCCCTCACGGAGGCGCGATTTACGGGAGATTTTCGGCCCAGGATCTTGTTTTCTAATATCTTTCTAATGCATATTATGTAATGCATTCGTTTTGGTTTTTAGTTTCTTTTCTCACATTTTTGCGGTGTGTCTTGCGTTTCCTTTTTTTTCTACTCGTGAATCTCTACTTTTATGATTAGTTTTGCAACGGCTTGTACTGTAAAGATTCTTGTTTGTTGCATTTGCTTGCCAGTAGTGAGAATCCTGGATCTGGTGCAGATGTGTGGCAGGAGTATGAAGCTTGGCTAAGCAGTCAAGGTCTCGAAGTAGTTAGCTGTTAGCTTGAAAGTCCCCCAAACATAAAGCAATGTTGCTACGAGCATGAGCTGAGACAGCATGCGATCCCATTGCAGATCAAGAGGACACTGAGACTTCTAGTCTTCGACAGCTCGGACAAACATCGCATGGCAGCAAACACACATCAGCCAGTGTAGCGACCGTGTGTAGCGACCTCAGTCCAGGGAGACCACCTCCCAGTTCGACCCGAAAGAAGGTCGGGAAAGACCGTTCGACCAGTCGACACCCAGTCGACGGCCCCAGCGACCCAGCCGCCGGACGTCCGGGCCAGGACTCGCACCGCCGCCTTTCTCTCCGAAGCTTTTGAGGTGGAGATCAGGTACACCTTCGAATCTGGCCTGGACAGCACCCGGAAGAATGCCTTGCGGCAAGCGGTGGAGATCTGGAGAGCGGCTCAGCTGGAGTTCGAAGTGGGAGGGGTTGCAGGATCCTAAGCAGGGATACATTTGTGCATCGGTGAGGTTTCATGACTCATGTAGCGCACACAGTTCCCTTTGAAGTCGCTTGATCCGGGATACTCCACCAAGCATATGCTTCCAAGTGTGTCATCCCATTGAACGTTTAGAAGGTACGGGGCTACCGAAGGCTTAGGCCAGAAAGTGCGTGCACTCGCACAGGCCACCGTTTCGGGGCACAGCTCTAGAATCCAAGTGCTTGTAGATCATTGCCTTGGAGATTACAACACTTTTTTATTTCTTTAACAAGGCCGCTCTGGCCTCCAACCCAATAGCGTTGGCCTCCAACCCAATAGCGATGGCCTCCAACCTACTATCGATGGCGTCCAATTTCTGCTTCATTTCACTTCCTCAAGGACGCCACATGCATCAACTTCATCGAGGAATCGAGCCCGGCGAGGTGCTGGAGAAGTGGTCTGGAGAAGCGTGGTGTCGAGCGTGAAAGACATGTGGAAAGAACGAGGGGGAGAGAAGGTTTAAGACATAACGTCGAATGACAGGCTGAAGCTTAGCCGCATTTTCATTTGGACTCAGAAAGGATGTGTTTGTGGAGGCCGTATGTGACGGTGGGCAATTTCGACAGTGGCAGCTGCTATGCGACTTTGGGGTAGCTTGAAATTCCTTTGGACTGCTGTGATGCTTCGGATTGAGTTGGAGTCTACCTTTGAGTCTGTCAACCACTCCTGCAGCCGGCGGATCCGACCAAATCCGGGAAGACGGTCGGGATAGGACGAAACCGGCTAAAACGGCCTCCACCACGGATGGAGACCGACGCGAACGGGGTCCTTTGTAGGTAAACTAAGTCAACTTTTTTGCGCTTAAGATCATTTACTGTATATATATATATATAAGTGTCTTTTCCTTTACCACTAAACGCGACTAACCAAGCAGCTCCCGATCGGAGACTTGGGTGCAAGGTACGTTTTTTTGATGGTTGTGGCCCGCTCATGTTGTTGAGTACAACTGGTGCTGCAGCGACACATTTGCCAAGGTATTATGGCACGAACACCAACTATAGAGTCAATCTTGGATGGTGCAATGGTGAACGTCATGTGGCTGGCCTCAGTTTTTAAATGGATCATTCAATTTTCAGGTAATTAGACGTGCAGCCCAAGAAGCCTCCGGCTGAAGTGTAGAGGTGTCACCATTTGTGCAGAGTCTTGTCATGGGAGAGTCTTTTTCTTTAAACGGAGATCTTCTTTGAGACTCGTGTGGACTCGTGTTCACCAAGATTGGCAGCATGGTCCATGAACTGGGGCACATTTTGGGGATGAGCCACGAGCAGCAGAGACCCGATGGACCAGAAACCTTCTACGGCGCCTCGGAGATTCATTTCTTTTTTGTGCCAGCGCCGAAAGGTGTCCAATGTGACAAAACAAAGACATTCGAGGTACAGACTTTTAGACCATTTTGTGGGTTCTTCTTCAGCATGTTGAGCTTTTGCATAGAGTTCTGCATCTCCGACATTCTATTGAGTATTCTTGAGGTAAAGGGCCGCATTTGACTGTCTTCTGGGCATCTTGGTTGTCGCGTATGTGTGTTTTCTTGCGGCACGTCCAATTGGATAGTTGTCGTCAATTGAGATCAACAACTCTCACGGATCGTTGAAAAGGATCTGACCCTTCTGGGCCAGGCGTTGATATCTTTTCGGATCTTTCCGGCATTGAACTACTTGTGTCGTAGTTCCCCATGAGCCACAGTGGTGAAGCTTCTCTTGATCAATTGATACCAACAAATCACGGATTCAAAAGCGCCGCGTATGTTCCTTTACGTAGGCCGAGGCGAAGGGATGGGATTTACCAAGGACAACATTGATCAGTCCTGGTGGTCCCAATACGAGCCGAACGACCGGGTCTATACGGGCTCAAAGAACGATGGCACTGGCGATCCTCATGCGGCTCGACTAAGAGCCCGTCTTGGGAGAAAAGAAACCGGCAAAGACTTCGAGAAGCAAAACGGCCATGTAAGTGGAAGCAACATAGGCCCATAGGCTGAGCAAAATAAACAATTGTAGGGATGAAGAATTGACTTGTGAACATCAAATATGTGTGGCGATTTGTCCGAAGAATCTTCGTCATTTTGGAGCGTTTTGGTGGAGATACAAGAAAAAACACAGCAAGAGCCTTGTGGTCGAACCAACCAAGCTGCCGGTGTGAGGTGGGCTATGCTGACTATGACTTCGAAAGTTACTCGCTTGGATTTTAGACACTGTCGACATAGCATTGAAGAACTTCCGACAGAGAATTGACCACGATTGTCTTGGCAGAGCTTGACTGCCTTTGTTGAAACAGCGCTTCACAAGGTGCGGCACTGGCTGCTAAGTGTAAGGCAGTTGTAGGCCATCCTTATTAGGTTGGAGGCCATTCCTATTAGGTTGGAGGCCATCGCTATTAGGTTGGAGGCCATTGCTAGTAGGTTGGAGATTAGGTTGGAGGCCATTGCTTCTAGGCTGGAGGTTCTTTTTTCTTTTTGCTTCAGGTATCATGCACTACGGTGGTGGTTCAGCCTTCGACACAATTCCGACAAGCAAAGAGTCGCTGGTGGGAAACCGCAACCAACTATCCACAGGCGGACAGAGAACCAGTGAAGTTGTTCATTGCCGCTTCGCGTTACTTTAGCCAGTATATTATAATGCTTTGAGTTTTTTCTCACAATGGGTGTAAGTATGGGTGAACCCCCAAGTGACATTGCAGAAACGCGCAAGACAACATGCGCAGGGTTTGTCAGCCCTCAGTGTTTTTGACACGCAGTTCGATCTTGCAACCCTAAACAGTTTACTGTTAGGGGTTCTCAATTCTTTCTTAAGATGTGTCCGCCCTTTGTGTCACTGCTGGTGTCCGCCCATTTCCATTGGCCATGTAGCATTTCTATTCATTTGTCTCTGCTGGTGTCCGCCCTTTTCCGCTGGCCATGTAGCATTTCTATTCATTTGTTTCCCAGGTCCGTTACTCCTGGTGTCCGCCCTTTTCCGCTGGCCATTAGCATTTCTATTCATTTGTCTCCCAGGTTTGTCACGGCTTGTGTCCGCCCTTTTCCGTCGGCCATGCAGCATTTCTATTCATTAGTCTCCCAGGTCTGTCACTGTTGGTGTCCGCCCTTTTCCGCTGGCGATGCAACATTTCTATTCATTTGTTTTCCAGGTCTGTCACTGCTGGTGTCCGCCCTTTGCCGCTGGCCATGCAGCATTTCTATTCATTTGTTTCCCGGGTCTGTCACTGGTGCTGCCGCCCTTTTCCGCTGGCCATGTAGCATTTCCATTCATTTGTCTCCCATGTGATTTCTTTCTTTTTGTCTTTCAGGGTTGGTGCCTGCACTGGTGTTTTCTGCCCTGTCCGCTGGAACAGGTTGAGCTGTGAAAGGTTCTTGCTCCTTTGAAAGGGGTGCGTGACTGTCTCCGGGATTGCATTCCTGCCGCACTGTGTAACTCTCTCAGCTTTGTTTTCCTTTTCGGGCAAGCGTTGGATGAATGACCGGATTGGATTTGGCGGCGTGGCAGCGATCTCTCTGTTCAGTTGGGACGGAGAGCATACGTCAGGCACCAAAAATCAATTTCATGTCACATCCTTCGCTCCTTATGGTTTTATTTCTTGTCCTCACGTGGTCAGCTCCCCGCTGGTTGAGCAGCATGACCAGAATCATGTTCGCGCTTGAAGAATAACTCCCCAAAAGGGTTACTGTTAGGGCTTCTCAATTCTTTCTTAAGATGTGTCCGCCCGCTCTGTCTGCTGTGTCCGTCTCTGCCTTGCAATCCTTCACACTTGTCTCCCAGCTCTGGGCTGCTGTGGCCGCCTCTGCCTTGCAACCCTTTGTCTCGCAGCTCTGGACGTGGCAAGCTCTAGTTTCGACTTTGAAAAACACAAACTGTTTGGGGTCTACGGTGGTGTAAATTTTCAGCGGTGTTCCAGGCGATATCTCGCAGATCTTAGACCTCTACCAGTGTAAGTCGACAGACACAACGACCACTACCACCACCACTACGACCACCACAACGACCACCACGACTACAACCACCACAACTACAACCACCACAACTACAACAACTACCACAACTACCACTACAACCACCACAACGACAACTACAACGACCACGACAACGACCATGACAACGACCACCACCGCCACCAGCACCACCACCAGTGGAAGTGCATTTGCGCCCATCAGTGGTGACGGCTCAAACCAAGTTTGCCGTGGTGAGAGCATCACCGACAACCGGGCTGAGCAGCTTGACACAGAGAATGGGTTGCTCCACTGTTTTTGCAAAAAGACATGTTTGTCACACACCTTTTTGTCATGCAAGTGCTTTCTTCGCTTAGTTGTGGCACTACCAACGGTCTGTGAGGTACTTTACCGCGCAGCATATGGTGGCAACTCTTGAAGACTGCAAGTCGCTCTGTGCCAACTTCCAGGGATGTGTTGGTATCGAGTACAACGCTGGAGGTCAACGATGCGAAATCTGGACCCGACCAGAAGGCATTGAGGTCACCAAGGAAGCTGCAGGCTACGTGTGCTTAAAGTACCTGCCAAATGTCCGAGGCTTAGGGCTTAGGGGCTTCGACAGCCTTGAGTTTAGGGGCTTCATTTTGGCTTGCTTCGCCATCACTTGGAATGTGCAGGAAGTGCTGAAGTGCTTTGCCCCGCCTTAGCAAGCATTGTCCGAGGCCCCCACCACAACCAGCATCAACCAAGCAGCTTGTCGGATGGGTAGTTGGCACACTTCCGCTGTGTAAATGGTAGTCTTGGTTCCCGACAGATGAGATCGCCTCGATCAAGAGATATAAATTAGATCGAAACCACACAAACCTCTCTCCTAACAGCCACAAAGCTGGCGACACCACAAGCACGTTTTTTGGTTCGGGTACCACCTGACTCGGACGGATGAGCACGGAGAGGCAGGTTCTGCGACACCGTTGCTCATTCGTCGTTAGCGTTGGAACCCAGGCGCTCTTCCAACCCTTGTCCGGTGATGGCACTGGACAAGTGTGTCGAGGCGAAGGGCCAGGCGTGGTGCCTTAGAGATCTCTCAGCCCGTCACTGGTGGATGAGAATGTCAGCGATTCGAAAGGTGACAACCTTCCGGAGTACTTCACGGTGAAGTACAACATCCCCAGCTTGGAGGGATGCCAGGTGGGGAGAGATGATCAAATCTGCTCACGAAACGACCACGCTGTGAGGGTACCGCTCTGAGTCGAGGCCGAATGCGTGGCGGTTGCGGACTGCAAGGGCATCGAGTACAATGCAGGTGGAAGTCGATGTGAAATCTGGCGCTCCACTTAGTCTGAAAACCTCAAGAAATCCAAGAATCCAAGCATTGACAGCAAGTAGGGATTTGATGGTTTGAAAACGAAAGGACATTTCATTGTGAAAACACAAGGCGACAGAGATGAGAACACATGCAGATGAGTGTGATCAGATCATGAACGCAGATCACCCTATACAACATCAGAAAGATACCCCTGAGGATTCGTCCAGAGGGAATTGGCTCGACCTTTCCTCTCGATGGCATCTTGCACGAAATCGAAAGGAACATAATCTTAAAACACATGGTGGAAGAATTTGGAGTATACTTTTTCTGCTTTACTCTTTGTAGTATGGCCAGGTGTACTCTGAAGTGACATTCTTTTCCTCGTATTGAAGGATCAGTGCTGTCGCTTGGTGTCTGGAGTGCCTCAGCTTTTGCTGAGGCTACACTTGCTTGGCCTACACACCAAATCTACCCACCACCACAAGCACCACATCAACACTCAACCCTGCACTTTTCCAGCCTGTGATGGGAGATGGAACAGATCAGGCGGGAAAGTGCAATAGTAGAGAGTTGTGAGCCTGAGTACATTCCTGGTCGTGTAGGAAGCAAGACCGGCACATCCCGTTGCACGACTCTTGTTACATATTAATGCAACTTTCTAATAACGTTTTCAGCTTGCACAGCGGCAAGCGGCAAGCGGCAAGCAATGGTGCAGTGTTTCCTGTGTCGTGCAAGCGAACCATGTCAGGTGTGCCGCGGTGTGAATGCTGGTGACAATGCAGGCAACGATGTGTTCATGTGCTCATTCAAGAAAGTGACCCAAGTCCTTTGGTATCCTTTGGTCATATCCTTTACAAATGCTGCCACAATTTCATCCAAAATCCATTTTGTTGGGGGCGGGAACTATGAGGAAAAAGCTTCGATGCTGCAGCAGTTTTTTGGCCCTTCCCTTCAATCGCTCAGATACTTACTTCACGGTGACCAGCGCTGCCTCCCTGGAAGCATGCAAAGTTGCATGTGTGGGATCGTCTAGCTGCAAAGGGACTCTTGGTGGGGACGTGACAGTTGGAAGGAACTCAATTGAAGTGCTGAAGTAGTTCTAGATGTTGAAGACAGCCCATCGACCTTTTCAGACTGCAAGAATCATCCTGTATGGATTTATGATGGCCGTATATGACGGTGAAGTGCTTGTTGGGGCCCAATCTAAGGATTGAATATCATGTCAGCGGCCGCTGTTCACAGCTCAGATGCCATGCCAAGCCACATGGCTCTCATTTGAGAGAACGGCACACCGCAACGCGGTGTGCAACCTAGGCGAAATCTGGACAAGGCCAGAAGGAATTGGGACTACAATGACTCTGGCAGACTACACGTGCCTGAGATACGTTCTGCCCTCATTATTTTAGTATCATTTTGACTCAGATGAATTTCAACCTTCTAAGCCGCCAACCATGAACTTTCGCTTAGCTTTTCCGACCATTTCCATTCCCGAGGTGCCTGGTGCAAGCGATCAGTGATGCTCTCTAAATTCAGGTCTGCGGCCTGTATTGGCCAACAAATCCGGTGAAGCCATGTGAGGCGTGACACCCCCAACAACCACAGTTCGTTCCTTTTGGAACCAAAGGAAGAGGTCACCGTATTCATGGAAGGGTGGACTTACCTCGGCCGCCGGGTCGCAAGGTCTTCGAAGTCCGAACAGTTCTGTCTGTCTTTTGTAAAGGCCGAATCTCCCAGGTTTGTAGAAGGACACATTTGGTCTCAACCAGGATTGACCAATTTATTTGCACAGCAGGGCGTTCTTCATTGAACAACTTCGGCCCGACTCCGGCGTGCTGTGCAAACATCACGGTGCAGGACTGTCCATCCACGCTCCTCGTGAGTGGATCCACTCGGCCGGCCCCTGAAATCTGGGGCTCAATGGCCAAAAGGTCCGGGCTCTCAGCACTGAGCATCGTCGAATCATTTTATGTTAAATCTTTAGCTAGAAGCAATGGCCTCCAACCTAAATAGCATTGGTTCTTCGGTTTCTGGACAAAGTTATTCACACCGCTTCGCGGTTGAAGCCGCCCGCAAAGAGTAAAGGGAATAAAGAGAAAACATACACACACACAGACACATACAGACATAGACATCCATCCATGCATACAGACATGCATACATGCAGACACACATCCAGACAGACATGGGAAAAGTGTATCATTAGCACCCTACCGGCTCGGCAGCAACCTGTGCTACTATCAACTTGTGCTCTCGCCGGGAGGACATGTTAACGGGGCTCAAGCATGTCTCAAGTCCGGTGCGTTTGTCTCCGTCTGGCCGTTTCGATCTCTCGGTCTTGGTCTATTTGTTTCGGTCTATCTCAGTCTGTCAGTTTGTATTCATGATGTCGATGATGCGATCTCCCCCGGCCGGCATAACCGGCATCGTCAACGTCTGTGTCCAATTTTTGCACATCTTTAAAAAACACTGTAGTAAAGCATTGCACTTCGTAACTCAAAGTGGCTGCGAGTCAAAGCCCAAAAGCTTCACACCATGGTAGGTTAACCTTCCTTGTTGTCTATTTTGTCCATGGTTGGTGGTCAACCAAGGTGCCTTGGTCTTGACCCACAGCCAAGAGGTCCCCCCCCCAAGCTAAAGCTTCAGATTGAACTGAACCGACTAGCCTCATAATGCCCTCGGCACCTTCGGCGCGGGCGGACTCTGGAATTGGCTTGTTGCTGCGGAGACATCCAGGGAAACAGGATGAAAGCCGGACATTTGCTGAAGCTTGAGACTTTCCTTCCGAGCTGAGGTGATGCCACGAAAGGATGCGGAATGAGCTGGTTTTTGGCCCTGGAACCAGACCTGTGACCAGTGGAAGCCTTGAGAATTCAGCTTCTTCACACGCTCCCTCTTGCAACCCGTGGCATCAAACCCTTAGACCACTTTCATTCTAATAACTCCTTGACCTAATAGCGATGGCCTCCAACCTGCTAGTGTCGGCCTCCAAACTAGAAGCGATGACCTCCAACCTAGTAGCGATGGCCTCCAACCTAAGATCGATGGCCTCCAACCTAGAAGCGATGGCCTCTAATTTTTGTTAAATGTTTACATCACTAACTTGAGGTGGCTGAGAATGCCTGGAGGGTGGAAGGTTAAGAGGGAATTGATGCAGGATTCCAGATGTTGACAGGGTTTCACAAGAACCTCTTCTGCCATACGGGGATGGTTTTACCAGAGTGCAGGAGGATAGAAAGACCCGAAAGGGCAACCTTTGAGGCTTTAGGGCCAGGTCCTTTGACCCAGACGCTGCAGATCCACCTTTCGTTCACCTCACTTTGCTTGACGCGCAGGGCAACCTTGCGGGGCTGAAAGAGGGAGCAGAAGCACTGCCAGGTTGGCCCATCAAAGTCACTACAGCTGTACAGGTCTCCGATCCACACGGTAAGGCGATCGAATGAGTTTGTGAAAGCCAGAATCAGAGAGTGAGTCAAAGCAGACCTTGTCGCAATGCCAAAATCGGCAGTGGACACCAAGAAGCCCCGTGGAAACCATGTTTGAGATGTCTTTGTTGGAATCTCAAAGCCTTTCATTTGCAAGATGAGGGCATTGCACATGTCGTATGTAAAGTAAGCATTGCCCCTTTCTTGCGAGTTGTGTGGATGCCTAACTTCGTGAAAATTTGGACCCGAACACTTGGTCGTCAAACACCAAGCTTGGTCTGCGCGGCAGCCTAGTCCTAGTCTTGCACAACGCGGGAACCGGCTAGACAAGCTGCACTCATAGGTGAAGCATCTTTGCCGCTTGCTTTCGGAAGAAGGTGTTTGCAGAAAAGTTTGCAGTTGCTTTGCTGAGCAGAAATTTGCTCTTCATTCCCCACACTTGAGCAATTATTGTGGGTTCAGCCCAAATGGGACTCTAAAGTCTGCAACGTCAACATGAAGCAGGAGTTTGATGATGAAAATACCGAAAAAGAACTGTCTTGGTAGATATTTATAATCCTCAGTTTTCAAAACTTTTCCTTTTTGCGTGTTACTTGATGACCTCAGGAGGAGGATGAGGTCTTGGTGATCAATGCATGGCAGCGACATGAGGAGATATATAAATTCAGTGGCTGAGACTAATACGATGGCCTCCAACCCACTAGCGATGGCCTCCAACTGAATAGCGATGGCCTCCAGCCTGTAAATCTGTGGCTGAGACGACTTTGTGCACGCCCTGCAACTCGCCCTTACACTCCGACCATTGGAGTTTGGAGGAAAGCACGAACGGTGGGACCTCAACCCCAAGCTCGTTGAGCGCAATCTCCTTGGAGCAGCTCTTATGGTTAGAAGCTGAGGACACGAGGAGATGCAAAAGGAAAAGGAAAGGAAGAAAGGAAGGAAGGAAGGAAGGAAAGGTCTCTATAGGTCTACACATCCAATGCAGGAAGAAAGGACAGAAAGAAGAACAAGAAGACATAAGATGCCCTCGCGATATGATAAATAACATCAGATCGGTGGACATGATTCTGATCCACCTTGCAAGGTTTCAAGTAAGTGTTAGCCATGGATGATCTGCCAAAAACTCAAGGTTGAAGCAAACAGGAACAGGCTTCCATTTCGCAAGCTAAACATGACAACAAAAACACATTGAAGGCCATGGGAGCCCCCAAAACCCAGACAGATTTGGAGCCTGCAAGGCCTGCAAGGCCTGCAAGCCGGCCCATTTTTCTTCGGACTTGTTTGGGTCGCCTGTGCTTCGATCGCACCGCGCCTCCCTCCTCCATGAATTCGCACCTCGAGGTGCGAAACACTTCGGGCTTTGGCTGAAATGCCCCCCTGTGCTGAGGTGCGGACGCCGGGCGGAACGATGTTTGGTGGTTTTACGTCGTGTTTTCTCTTTTCCCAGATCTCTTTGAGAGAAAAATCGTGAGTCTCACAAAATTGAGCTGAAAAAGAAGCAAAGAAACACAAAGACAGAGCTTGAAGAAGCCATGGACAACCATCAAAGGAAGAACCTGGCTTTCAATCTGAACATCGCGAAGAGTAAGGAGTCGGTGCCAGCAGCCAGAGTCAAACTGGTAGACGAAGGCGAGGTGACGATGATCGGCTGTTCCGCAGGACCAAGATCGCCAAAAACGATCAATGTTTTCATTGATGGGAAAATGAGCAAGCTGGACATGAATGGGACATGGGGAAGTCAAAATCCAATACATAAAGCCTGAACAAGTCCAATGGCCTAGAGGAACGGCTTAATTGGATGCTGATAAAGCCTCATGTGGATGCTTGCAGCATGGCATGCCGCAGGCGTGGCAAGCTATGAAGAGCTTCTGGATAGTCCAAGCGAGGAGGCATCTCAAGACTTTCTACCTTGCAGATATGTGACATCAGAAGACGTCTATTTAGGGATCTACAATCATGAGCTTCGCTCGCCAGACATCAGAATCATGAATTCATGAGACAGAAAATGGGGAGAATACAACCAATCCAACCCATTCGCACCGTGCTTTTGAGCGTCATCGCGTCTGGCAGTACCGTCGTCGTCGTCGTCGGCGGCGTCGGCGGCGTCGGCGGCGTCGGCGGCGTCGGCGGCGTCGGCGGCGTCGGCGTCGGCGTCGGCGTCGGCGGCGTCGTCGTCGTCGTCGTCGTCGTCGTCGGGCAGGGCTCCGGTGTGCCGCAAGAGGATGCTCCACGGCTCGCTTCCTTGGCCTTTCTGCGCCAGTGCGCTCTTGGAACGCTCTGCATGGTGCTCATGCTGTGCGTATGGCACCTGTGGTGCTTTTTCTGGAAGTGAAGGCAGCAGAACAAGCTGCAAGTGGTTTGCTTGTTGCTTTTCAGGGGCAGAAAGGGAGGCTGGACGTCTCAAAAGGATGAACGTTCTGCCCGCTGCTAGGTATGTCAGCCGGCCTTTGCTGGAAGAAGAGGTGACATGCTGTTGAATGGGATGGATAAGTTGGATAAGAACATGTCCATCCCCAACTGCTGCAGGTGGACCATTCCATCCCAAATCCAGAATCTTTTGATAATACTTCACCTTTAGCTGTTCACCGGGCCCATATCTACGAAAGATGGAGTAGGTCCACTGGGCCCATAGGTCTCCATGAGTCTTCATCAAAAAATGGATCCATGCCGAGACCCGGGCGACATGGAGAGAGACCGCCCCGACCCAGTTGCTGCCGCGCTTGTTGCCCACCGCCCGCGGCGTGGTCCGGGTCTTCAGCGCAGAGCTGGCCGAACGGGAAGGCGTGCCGCGAAGCAGCGTTCACGGCGCCTGGCGCAGAGCTGACAGAACGAAGCGACAGCCACCGCCGATTTGGTGCGCAAAAGCTCATCAAAGCAATGCCAGGGTTGAAGCACTGCAATTTGGGCAAGTTTTGCAGAAGGCCTTTCGCTTGCTTCGGCAAAGGTTGCCCGGACTACGAACCCAAAAGGTAGTGGTCCCATTTGCAGATGATCCAAAAGCAGCGGGTCTAGAGTGAAGAAACCTATGGACAATAAGAAGAACAAAGATCTAAGGATTTAGTCTAAGGATCCTTCATCTCACCTAGTCCGTCATCTCACCCCCGTCTTCGAACCCGGCATGGCCGCATCGGCGCCCGCCGCGGCCATCGCCACAACGCGGTAACGGCAGGTGCATCCCCACTGAAAGGCTTGAAGCCTCCAAGGCTCGGGGGTTCCCAATGCGGGAAGAGGAAGGGAGAAGAGATGACCCAGAGGTTGATTCATCGACCTGAGGTTGTTGATGGTGTACCGGAGTTGAAGGTGAGAGAAGGACAGTGGTTGCATTTGGTGGGATGAGCATCAAACCCAAGCTATTCATTACAGTGAGGGTTTGCATCCTTTTGTGGAGTGGTGCTCTTCCTGTGCCCAATCATTTTCTGTGTCTTTCAAAGGCAAGAGGCTTGGTCAGCAGGATCAATAACCTATCAACACGATTCAACAAGTAACCCGTGGATACGTAGCTGACCTAATAGTGACCTTTGGCTAAAAATACATGCTTTTCCCGATTTTCTTGCCGACCTCGGGGTGGTGGTGTGGGGTTTCCGCGCTTACTCCCTCCCGCATGGTTTTGCTCCACGGCCCAAGCCGCTTGGCCGAGGCCCAAGACGCTGGATGATCTCTTTTCGGACGAGCCCGACTTCCGGAAGTCCGGCGCAAAGTCGAGGAGTCGGAGCAGTGTGGGTTGAGTGGGAGAACCCAAGGGCCTTTTGTCCTGGCACGACTGGTTCTAAGAGTGGGTTCTCCAGCCATAACCTATTGGAACTCAATAGCATTTGTACATCATCAACATGCTGCAAGGCATTTCTTTCAAGTTCGGAGAACTTCACCTCCGTGCAGATGCGCCCGAGGCCCTCCTACTACGCCAGCGGCATCGACGAAGAGGGTCACGACGATCCATTCCTCCGGTGCCAACGGTGATCTGAGTGACGTCGGGTGCCAACTCATTTGGGTGATCTGAACCCCACACCGCATTGGGCCATCGCTTTTAGGCTGGAGGCCATCGCAACTATTGTATTTATTGATTGGCTAAAAACCCTAATCACACAATAGCACATCCCCAGTCATGGCGTAGGCGGTTTTAGGATCACGCCTTAAAAGCTGCGTGTTCGGCTTTGGTGTAAGGCAGATGGAACCGACATCGGAATCTGTTGAAGTTTCAAATTGCTCTCTCGGGTCATGTGTACTTACATGACCTGTAGGGTCTTTGCTTTACACCTCGGGCTTGGCTACTTGCAGGTACGAGCTTACCTCTGTGCTGCTCCTTTGTGAATCATCAGGCAACCTTTGATTTGTATAGTGAGTGATCGAAAAGGAGCCGTGTCTATGAATGAAGACGAGTTGCGCATTCCTGAAGGCTTCATCTTGGCGTTCCATTGCTTGCAGGCAGAGGATCTATATGTTGGTTGTGGAGATGTTTTGGAGGTGTTTGGAGAAATTATAATAGCGGCTATTCGGCTATTCGATGATAAGTCTTAAGGCAGAGCAGGGAACGTTTCTATTTGGTGGCTTCGCTGACATGTCAGGCAAAGGATCCTTGCTCGTGATGGCACAGTGGAGCATGGCCAGCACTTGGCACAAAGACTGAATGCTCCTGAAGTTTCGGACCAAACGATTTGCTCCTCATGGTGATGATGCTTCTTCGTTTAAGTGTGCAACAAGCAGGAATCAGCAGGAAGACTCTCTCGCTGGTTAACACGGCTGGCGATGCAATGAATTTGAGTTAAAAATGCAAATGATTGCTCTCAGATCTTTGCATGGCCTGCAGGTGCTCAAATCTTTGCTGGCAAGACGAATTCGAAGCTTTAGTCCTGTGGTGTTCAAGTGGGTTTCTTCTTCGCTGGCATTTTGTGGCTCAGACTAGAAAGAGGCCCCACCAAGTACTGCCACCGCCGTGCTGGCACGTTTTTTGTCGGGCTGGACGACAGTTTTCCAGAACACCCAACCCCAAAAAACGGAAGAACTGCAACGTAAAAGTGGCCCGCAAAGCACATGCCTCGGCCAAGCACCGAAAGGAATGAGAGAGAGAGAGAGAGGGACTTGGCACTGCATTGAAGCCAAGAAGGTGACACACGACTGCCATAGATGAGCGGTGGGGTCGATCCCGACGCCAGGTGCCGTGTCGGCGAAAGGTGGGGAATTCGAAGCCACTGGGCGGAGGAAAGGACGGATCGGAAGAGGCCTTGGGTGGGTGCTTAAGAGATGTTCGGGAAGAGGTGACCAGGTGCGATGCGTTCTGTATAACTACAAATGAGTTGATATAGAGCATTTATACAATTCTATATGCATAATTCCATCTAAATTAATGTTTGTGTTTTTTGTTTTCAATGTTTTATCCACTCATTCCACTCATTGGCAGTGGTCCATCAACTAGTTGGATTGATCCGACCTGCCCTGTGAAGACCCGACCTGCGTTGACCTGCCCGAGCTCAGGCATGAGCTTTCTGTCGCGGAGTGAATACGATCGTGGCGTCCCGGCTCCCAGAGTCCCTGACGGTGGAAAGATGCAACGGATCGGGTCTACCACATTGGCGGCTGCCAAGCTGAATGCTCCTAAAATCCGTAGGTCGGCAACCTTTATCAAGAGAACATCGCATGCACCATGAGTCGCAAAGCTGAAACTCGCTCAATATTACAGCAGTAGGTTGGCAACCTCCGTAGGTCGGCAACCTTTATCAAGAGAACATCTTATGCACCATGAGTCGCAAAGCTGAAACTCGCTCAATATTACAGCAGTAGGTTGGCAACCTCCGTAGGTCGGCAACCTTTATCAAGAGAACATCTTATGCACCATGAGTCGCAAAGCTGAAACTCGCTCAATATTACAGCAGTAGGTTGGCAACCTCCGTAGGTAGGCAACCTTTATCAAGAGAACATCGCATGCACCATGAGTCGCAAAGCTGAAATTCGCTCAATATTACAGCAGTAGGTTGGCAACCTCCGTAGGTAGGCAACCTTTATCAAGAGAACATCGCATGCACCATGAGTCGCAAAGCTGAAATTCGCTCAATATTACAGCAGTAGGTTGGCAACCTACAGTCTATGAAGAGTGCATCACGAACAGCAAAGCTCCTAAAATCCGCAGGCCAGCAACCTTTATCAAGAGAACATCGCATGCACCATGAGTGGCAAAGCCGAAATCAGGTGAATATTACAGCAGTAGGTTGACGACCTACAGTTTATGAAGAGTGCATCACGAACACCATGAGGTGCAAAGCTCCTAAAATCCGTAGGTCGGCAACCTTTATCAAGAGAACATCGCATGCACCATGAGTCGCAAAGCTGAAATTCGCTCAATATTAGAGCAGTAGGTTGGCAACCTACAGTCTATGAAGAGTGCATCACGAACACCATGAGGTGCAAAGCTCGTAAAATCCGTAGGTCAGCAACCTTTATCAAGAGAACATCGCATGCACCATGAGTCGGAAAGCTGAAATTCGCTCAATATTACAGCAGTAGGTTGGCAACCTACTCTATGAAGAGTGCATCACGAACACCATGAGGTGCAAAGCTTCTAAAATCTGTAGGTCGGCAACCTGTATCAAGAGAACATCGCATGCACCATAAGTCGCAAAGCTTAAATTCGCTCAATATTACAGCAGTAGGTTGGCAACCTACAGTCTATGAAGAGTGCATGACGAACACCATGAGGTGCAAAGTTCTAAAATCCGTAGGTCGGCAACCTTTATCAAGAGAACATCGCATGCACCATGAGTGGCAAAGCGGAAATCAGGTGAATATTACAGCAGTAGGTTGACGACCTAGAGTCTATGAAGAGTGCATCACGAACACCATGAGGTGCAAAGCTCCTA